TCTTCCCCTTAATCCATTTCTGGATTGGGGGGTGGCAGAGCTGCACCCACTTCACAAAGCACCAGCCCCTCACTGATCCTCCTGCAGGTGGTGAGTCCACAGGGGTTCGGCTGCTCTGTCAAAGAGAGCATAGCCTTCAGTGGAGCCTTACAGTAAGTGTCTTGCCCAAGGACACAACGACAGCAGACATCAGTGGTAGTTGGTGGAGAAGGACTCGTGGTGGGCTCGAACCCACAACCTACATTAATGTAAACTCATTAGGCCACTGATCGCATTGTTTCCAGTCGCACGCCAGGGTGAATGCAGATTATAGTTATAGAATTTAAGGTATTTGACAGAAATATTATTAAGAAAAGAATTGTGTTATAAATAATAGTTACACATGTATCGACCTCAAAGCCCTTCAAAGTAAAAAATTAAAGACAAACCAGAATGATGGCCTACCTCACGGACTAATAGACCAATTTGTTCCATATTTATCAAGAAAAATGTCTGAATATCCATTGTGCCTAAAAAAGGAAAGTGGGATCTCTGATGGAGTGTGAGCAACATACTGAAACATAAACACTTGCCCTGGAGACAGCTCCTGCTTCCCATTATCCACTGTTTGACTCAGAGTAGCACATGCTCTAACTACTGTCATGGAAAATACCTCTTATGGTATTTATCAACAAGAAATCAGCATAGAGGCTTACAGTTAAAGGATACATCTAATTACACATTCATCCAACTCACTTAGTGTTGTATTTTCTGCTTAAATGTACTTTAAGTGTACCACAGATACACATGTGTTCACTATGCATCTTGTTTTTGAATGCTTCTTAGATTGTTTCTATTCTTGAACTGTGCATTGCAACAATTTTCTCAAAATATTATCTCTCATTTCTAACAAAAAAATGTAAAACACCAACAATAAATAGCAAACAATTAAGCTGTTACTCCAGCTTTAAAGCTGGATTTAAAGACGGAGAACCTAACTTTTTTTATCTTTTCGTTTTACATTTTGTTTGTACCAACAAAAAGTAAATTTGTGAAAATAATCAGACCACTGCTTGCAGTAGTACATGATAACATACTTCATAATATAATATGTAATGTACTAATATTGCGATAATATTACACATATCAGGATCTAACTGGTTGACTGAGGGTGATGCTCTCTTTTTCACTGAAATTGCTGATCTGAAGATGTGGGGCCGAAAGTTAGGATCCCAGCTTCAAGTATGCAATACTGGATTTGTGGACATTAATTAACCTTTAGTGTTGTTCACCATATTGCACGCTTGGACAATAATAATATGTGTCTTTCTTAACTCACTGCATTTGTTGCGATACAACAATTTTGACCTTGTTCATTATCATAGTTTGTAAAAATGAAACAACAATGATTCAGCATGAAGTTTCTGCTGGGAAAAAAGAAGAGTAATCATGGCCAACATTTATAGAGCTCTCTGTGTTTCTTATCTGTTGGAACAGGCCGGACATTGGAAAGGGAAAAGTGAAAGTGTATAATCTGCAGCCAAAAGGGATGGACATGACATCAGCTAAAGACAGGAGACAGAACCACGAGCAACGAAAGGCTGTGTTTCCAAAGTTCACAGTTGATCATGTTGTTTCATTGGTGCAGATCAAAGCGAGGAACTTCTACAACTCTGACTGTGCTGGACATTTTTAGGGAATTACAAGAGTCAATTTTTGATTAAAATCAACAGAAAAACTCCCCAAAGTCACAATAACACATTTCACTTTGGCTGAAGCGCACCTGTTAATGTCTGCTGGAGTTTAGGATAACAATCAGGACTTACAAGCTAACCCCCTCTTAGACCAGCTGGGGTCAGAGGTCCACCACAGCGGCCAAGTTGCTATAGTCACATATCAAAGCGAGGTAAATCCGCCAGACTCAGCATTTGGGAGAGGTATTGAGCATGTGCAGCAACCAATAATAACAACAACCCATGGACAGATGACACGCATGTCACAAAAACACATCAGACAATACAAAAACCATGTATTTGCACCTGTTCTATGTCAATACATCCAAAAATAGACATCAAGGCGAGACACATCCCTTTAAATAAACACACATGCCACTGACACAATACGCATTCTATAGAAGATAGGATTATTGCAATACCTTTATATTTTTCTCTGACATTTTCATAAGCCTGGATGAAGTCTTGCTCTTCAGCGTCTGGAGGCAGATAGGCAGGTTGGTACATGGCCATGCTGCTGGGGTCACTCACACTCAGCCTCTCTGTTGAAATAAATGAGAGGATATGCCCACGGCTGTCCTCCCTGCCTTCTCAGATGTGTGTGAGCCCTCCACAAAATCCCTCAACTTCATCTCACAGCCCGGGACAACCCCCCTAGTCCCACTACCTTCCCATAGCAAGCTTCTACACATGCTCCTATACGAGTCAAGCCACTCCCTCTTAAAGAGACAAGCACACCAGACTAGCACATAAAACTTGAGGCTGTAAAGGCGCAGTGGAGAGGAGAGGAGAGGAGGAGGAGTGCTTGCCAAGCGTCAACGCAGCAATACCGAAGGCCCAGATCAGCAGCAGGGTGCTCTAGTAACACTTGACTCAAACCAGAGCCCGACAGATGTTAAACAAATTACTGTATGTCGTCAAGCGGGAAGGACAGGGTTTACAGTGTCAGACAAATGATAGAAATTCAATGATCTGTACTGTAAATTGAGTTAGTTTGACGGATTACTTTTTCAACATGCGGAGATATAGAACCTGTGGGTTCGTGTGGACTGGGGAGTACTGCCGGCTCAATGACACTGCTCTGTGTACACACATTTTCTCTGCAATTAAGAAGACACTGCTTTTCTACTGAGTTGTAAACAAGCCCTTGTAACTCCCAACAGCATCAAGCTACAGGCCAAGCACTGAATACTGTCCAGATGTCCAGATGCCCTGACGACCTGTCATAAGCATGACTACACAAACGCAAATAATTTGAAGGTCCCATTTTACGCATTATGACTTTTCTCTGCTTTAGATATTATTATAGTGCTATTTGGCTTTCATTTACATGCTCAGAAGTTTTTTAATTGATTAAAGCTTTAGTTGGACAGCGATCTTTCTCTTTCATTCTTGAGAGGCAAAAAAAACACCCGGGTCCACATCTGTGACGAACACAACATCGATGACGAGGATGATGCAGAAGCCCGTCTTTTTATTTTAAAAGGTTTCTAAAATAATGTTGTCAATACAGGGCAAACAATACACAATAAAAATGCTGTTTCTTCAAACGTCAAAAATATTAATAAAATCCAGGAGGTGATGGACGAATCAAAACAGAAAATCACAGCGCACAGCCTCTCCTGCGACTAAAAGTGTTGGAATCATGTCAACTTGGAGAAAACGTGTGTTGGTGTAAATATGTGAAGCACTATTTGGCCCTAAGACGCAGATCCCATTGATAATAGAGTAAGATTAAGAGATCCTTTATTCGTCCCACAGTGGGGAATTTTTAGTTATAGAACAGTAGGAAAGAGTAGCACACAGCACAAGATAAAATAAGCTCGATGAAGCTCGACTTGTAAGTACGGTACTACTAACTCGCGGTATCTTTCTGTTGACAGAAATATATTGCAGAATGATGAAGGTGCATTCTTTTACATCTTTGCGGTGGCCGGAGGAGGATGTTGTTGAGGAAGTGAATATACTGCTGGGGGAGCTGGGGGCCGCGTGTGTTGTGTTGTAAAGTTCCACTGCCCACTACTGGCCGGGCAATAGAACTACATTGTTTTCAGCAGCTGTCTAAACGCTGTGCAGGAGCCTGGTCATTTTGGCTAATTGCTTTGCAGCGTCTCCTCAGCGTCTCCGTCTAAACAGGGCCTTAGATAACTGCTTTACTGAGACAGATACAGTTTGCCAACGTGGACATTTTGACATAAAAGATTAATTAGAAGCCAGATGAAAAACCATTAAATTACAATAAACAGTCAGACAATACCCACAGTACACACACACTTCCAGGATGATTGAGGAAAAGGAAGATCACAGTATCAGGCCATTCTCCAGCCAAGGCCGACCTGACAGCAGCCTGGCCACTTCCCTCAGCGGAAACATAACGTGATTACGTAAGTCACAGTTTACAGAGGAATAAACATTCACACTGATCTTGATTGAATGAATTCATGTAAATTAGAAATGCTCGAATAAAAACTCACAAGTATAAAGAAAATTTGCAGGCACAAGGTATGCTGAACATGTCCTGTAAAATACCTCAGATATACAACAGATTCATACAGATACGTTTGACATATTCATTGTTCACACATACTGTTTGGTTTTGTACTTTTTCTGTATCTCTTCTGAGAGAGAAGCACCATTTTAGGCAGTCACTGTCGGCTTACTTAGAGAATCCTGCTCAGCCTCAGGATTATGCTCTTGAATACATAAGAGCATAAAAATACAAAGCTGGCCGAGGAAGGAAACATAATATTTATGTCCAGGCTCCAGACAGATGCTATGTTTCACTGGTTTAGAGATTGTTGCAGGTTTGTATTTTTAAAGAACTGTGATATGAATATATCACAGTTTGACTTTGATATATTCATGTAAGTGAGTAAGTAAGTAATGTTTAATTATATAGCGCATTTTACAGACCAAGGTCACCCAAAGCGCTTTACAACGTTAAGAGTTCAGATATTGTTCCAATTATTCCACACACAGTGATGACAGAAGCGAGTCGCCGAACACACTGGCGCATCATCCCCCAATCAACACCATTCATTCACTCACTCATTTACATTCATACCTATTGTGCATGTTTTTAGTGGTAGGGGAAACCCGGAGGAAACCTACGCAGACATGGGGAGAACATGCAAACTACACTCAGAAAGGCCCTGTTCCGACCAGGATTCGAACCCAGGACCTTCTTGCTGAGAAGGCGAGAGTGCTATCCACTCCACCACCATGCCGCCTAAGACAAACTGCTTAATGATTCAAAGAGTTTAATGTTATTGTTGTCACGAGTTAGGAATGTCGATGGAAGAAGGATGGTGGACCACAGGTTTCTTGTCAGGTGAAGTTTATTGAGACACAACAGAGCTCTGGTCTCTGATCTGCATGCTATGAAATGAGCCAGGATCAACCTACAACCAAGGTATATATACAGTCCAGTTGGGGATCACATCAAGGGACTTCAAACACCAATCATGGGACAAAGGGCTCATCATCAATTGTTATCATACTTGATTGATTACATCACAGACCCTGGAAGGATTCAATCACAGACCCAGGTGACATAAGCCAAGAACTCATGACTTCAGTTATATTTGATTTCATAATGTTAATTCTTTGTTAAATCCTGGTTAAAGCTATTCAGATAAACAGGGGTTACGACAACAAAGCATCTTCGAAACAATGAAACTATAATACAACAGAAATGTAGAATAAATGGCGAGTTAACTTTTCCCTTTCATGTTGTTTTGAGTTGGTCCAAAATGATCATGAATGAATTTCATAACTGTGTGATGCAAGGAACACAATCATATGATATCACACATCTTCTCCGTCCAAGTGTTGGGAGGATTACTGAAGCAGCTGACGGAAAACACATGGGCAAAACAAACTCTGTTTATGAGCAACAAAGTATTTGATACTAAGCGCATAGTCACGTACTGAAATGAAAAATCCAGCAATAATAATCTAAAAGGTGTTATCATGAAGGAATGTACAACAAGCTGCTGTTTGTATTACGAGTGTGTGGGAGAAAAAAAAAACATATACTAGCCTAAAATATACCTGTATAATCAAGCTGAGGTACTACAAAGCGCAAATAAAATTCCTCCTGTGAATATGAATTATTGTCATCAGTAGTAACTAGATTCCTTTGTACATGTTGAAAAAGAGAAATATTCTAATGTCAGTTCAAATGTCATATTCAGCTCTTTATGAAATTTGTATGTTTTGTGAAAATGGCAAAAAAAGAACAAGAGACACATTGTATTCACTGGTATTTGAAGTTATAGGAAATGAGCCACATTTTCCAAAAAGTGAAGCTAAGACAGAGATGGGGGAGTATGGGTCTACAGTGACTCCTGGTGGACAAATGACGCCACAACAAATTCTACCAGCCCTTCCACCTTTTGTGATCCAAAGATGTATACATTACAAAGCATCTGACAAGCTAAAGCAAATAATAAGGTCTGTCACAATAACTCATTTTGGTGAACAATATAAACTGTTTTAGAAAATCATTGGGATAAACAATAATAATGAAATCACTTTATTGCCACTGGTGCAACTACAATACAATCCAACTGAAACAAGACCAAATTCTATGGTTTAATCCATCAGTTGTTGAATGATCACTCGATTTAGTAATTATTTTGTCCATATAGTAATAGTTGTGACAGGCCTACAGTAAAATATTATCTATTATAAGTCTAAAGAGTCAGTGCTCTTTGTAATCTGAAGTTGATCAATAGGGCTTTGTCCAGTTGCCAAGTCATCTGTCAATACAGTATATTTAGGCCCTAGCCCTGAACGGGGAAAGGGCCTATTGTTTTTGCTCGAGAGATGTCAAATTCTGCACTTTGAGCCTTAATTTCACCCCCTGAACATGCATGAAAAGTTGTAAAATTTTGCCCAAACATCAGACCTGGTGAAAAATTTGATATTTTGGTGTTTATTTTTATGGGACTCAAAAAATGCCAGAACAGCGCCACCTACAACAGCCAATAGGAGTTTCAGAGGTCAAGTTTGTCGTAGAGCCATGAAATTCGGTACACATGTTCCTCAAGTCAAGATACGACCGAAATGTTATCATGGCCCCGCCCTCTGACAAACAGGAGGCCCATAAATTTCACTGCAAAATGGAAAAATGAACAGCAAAAGTTTTCATACATGTCGGTTGGAAAGCGACTCCTCCTCGGCCGCTTCACCGATTGGCCTCCATATCACTCCACATTGTCTAAACACATGTACCATCAAAATGAGCTCAGGGATTTTTGATCAGTGAAACGTTGTTTGAGCAGCGGAGCGGCAAAATGTGAGTGTTTATTGGCCGTTTTTCACAACCTTCTATTTGCTCCCGTTTACACATACAAATTCCGATTTGCACAAAACTTGAATCCATGGTTCAACTCTAGGGTCTAGGTCATTTGAAAGTGAAATAATTGAACTTGGCTCATTAACGCCCCCTACAGACTATTTCAGAGTTTTTGGTATGAAAAACTCTGAAAACTTTGACTCCATCTGTAGGGGCACTAATGAGCCAAGTTCTTTTATTTCTCTTTCAATTGACCTAGACCAGGGGTCGGCAACCCGCGGCTCCGGAGCCGCATGCGGCTCTTGAGTGCTCCTGGAGTGGCTCCTGGAGCCTTTTCAAAAATGTCTGAAAATGGAGTGTGAGGGCTATATTTTATTTCTAGTTTGAATGTGGTTTCTGTAGGAGGAAAAACAATCTTTACGTTTTTAAATGCTGTAAAAATATGTATAAGTAATATCTAATTTCAACATTTCTGTCAACGTAGTGCGTCATATCCTATGACGCGCGGTCACGCGGCCCCGCCCCATGCGGCCGCTGCTGTAAACAAACCGGCGTGTGTGCATGATAGACTGTAAGTGCACATGGATCCCAAAGCTAAAACGAGAAAGAGTCGATAACAAGACTGGACTAAGAATGAGAATGAACATTTTCTTTCAGTCAATGAGGAAGGACTGCTTCATGTTTGTAATGAAAAGTTTTGTTGCAACACGAGGAACAATGACGCGCAAAACAACGTAAACGGTGATTACGTGAAGGATTCATTCATCAAAAATTCAGAGCACCTATTTTCAGACTTCAAAACCTTCTCAAAGATGGTGAAAGAAACGGCCATTAAGGATTTTAATTCAGCTCCAGCAAACTTCAGCCTGTGACGTGATGGATATGAACAGATAGTGATGCAGGTATGTGACCTCTGAGCCCAAAGCAGATTGATTTACTGTATTTCTATAATTGCATGAAGGCAAAAAAAATGGAAGTTAAACTAAAGCAGAGTTGTCACATGTTGCGTCATTCACGACACGCGTGGTGCGACACGCTGCAGTGAAAATACACATTTGATAATCATTAATGATTATTATGTATTTGTAGCCTTTACTTTGTCATTTAGATATTAGGCTAATATAGCTAATACTTGCGTCCTGTGTTACCTTCATAAAAGCCTTACACAAGGTTGTTATTTTTTTGCGGCTCCAGACAGATGTTGTTTTTAGTTTTTTTGTCAATTATGGCTCTTTGAACATTTTGGGTTCCCGACCCCTGACCTAGACCCTAGAGTTAAACAATGTATTAAAGTTTGGTGCAAATCCGACTTTGTATGTGCAAACGGGAGCAAATTTAATATTGCCCAAAACGGCCAAAAAAAGGTCACATTTTGCAGCTCCCCTGTTCGAACAACGTTTCACTGATGAAAAATCGCCGAAGTCATTTTCAAGGTAAATGTGTTGAGATGATCTGGAGCGATTTTGAGGCGAATCGGTGAAACGGCCGAGGAGGAGTCGCTTTCCAACCGACATGTATGAAAATTATTGCTGTTCATTGTGAAATATTTTAAATTGGCCCAATAGCGCCCCCTACAGATTGAGGCAAAGTTTTACATGGGGTGCCAAACAGCTCTAATCATCATATTCCTTACAATTTGACTAACGTTCTTCAATGGCAACAGCAACAAATCATCACACAGCGGCCCCACCTGCGTTGCACGGTGTTGCGTGGTACGGTGTGGTGCGGCGTAGTGTGGGGGGGTTGTGGAGCGGCGCGTTGCGGCGCGTTGCGGCTTGGTGCGGGGCGGTGTGGTTCGGGGCTGTGCACCGATCACCACGGGCACTACTGTCACCTTTACCCTCCAGGCCCTCTCCATCATCTCTTTGAGCCCTTGGTATTTCTCAAGCTTTTCGTGTTCTTTTTTTCCTGATGTTGCCATCATGGCTCCCCATCGGGGAATCGAATCACGGTCTTCCGCGTGACATGCTGAGATACTGTCCACTATACATTATATATATATATATATATATATATATATATATATATATATATATATAAATATAAATATATATATTATACAGTATATGATATTACATGAATGAGTTGACTAACCTGCAATTCGTATGACAGCCCTCTCTGCAGCGTCGAGGACGTCCCCTGAGGCGGACTTGGAGCGTTTGACCCTCTGGTGTTTGGGCAGATTCCAGGGCAAAGTGTCTCCTGGACACGGAGCGCTGCTTCTCTCTCCAAGACCCTCCTCCAGTGGGATCCGACTGGGAGCAGTGTCCTTGCGTCTATCCCTTCGTGTTGCCATCTCCTGAAATACAATAAAAAGTAGTTGTTTTGTATAATAAGTATATTTTTTGTGGCTAGATCCTGAAAGGTGAGCACTTGTGTCTTTAAAAACATCAACGTAGTGAACACAATTCACGTCTTCATTGTTTTTCCTGATGAAACCACCGCACTATGAACAGAAGTTACTTGGTAGCTATTTTGTTGCACATTGTGTCTGGATTTTTTTTAATCATCTTTGGGAATCATTAATTTTGCAAACTACCACTTTGCAACCACAGTGCAGCCCTGACTGAAAAGATTGAAAACCCCGGGGTTAAACCTTAATTTTTAACTTTTACTCAAAGAAAGTTCTGTAATGGGAAAATGGGTTTATACATGATAAAATCAATTTTCTAATAGAAGTGTTGAAATTTGAAGGAAAACATTTACAATGTTGTTGCATACAGTAATTGTGGTATTGCCAGATGCAACCAAAGTATTGAGAATGATAACTTAAAGGAAAAGGTATTATTTTATTCATTAATTATTAGTTTTATAACTGTGTACAGTAAAATACAAAGTGTGAGTTTCATACGCAAAGGGCTCTGGCAAATGACTGGAGGAAAGATGAACTTGTGCAAAATGAAATGTTAATGAGTATGGGGCCTTCAGAAATTAGTTATGAAGTTAGTGTTTTATCCTTGCTCTTGAGAAACGAGCACTGCGTGTGCTCCTGTTAAGAGAGTGAAATACAATAATATGCTTCTGGGAGTAGACATTAAGTTAGACAGAGAAAGTGTTGGAAAATGGGAAAGAGAAAGACATCAACCAGAGACAATGTAATTAATTTGTTTCAGTTTTGACCGTCACATGGATGAGAACAACATAAATGTCATTCCATTGCCTCACGATGGAGTTCTCTGATGCTCCGGTGAGATATTTTTCAAGGACCCCCTTGAAAAAGAGATAGTTTATCTCAATGGGGCTATCCTTAAATAAATAAATAAATAAATAAATATGGCACTATTGGATATACCTACTTTCACTGTAAATGAAATGCAAAAATAATTAAATAAACAAAAAGGGAAAGAAAAAAATCAAAGCAAATAAACAATTATGGTATTGATTGGGTTGTGTGGAAGAGTGTGCTTGATGGTGTAGTGGCTCGAAGCACTATTGGAGGAGCTATTATGAGCGTTGGCCTCTGTCCTCTGATGCTGTGGCGTTCACTGGTCCCGTCAAAGCTCGGTGGGAGCTAAGACCACCGGACCTGCTGGTGCGAGTTGGCTACTGTGGTGCATTTTGTCACCAAGAAGGAAACACATGTGACTATGCCTACATAAAATAATAATAATAATAATAATAAAATCTTCATGACTTTACACGACATGAACATGATGATGGTGATGAGTATGAGGATAGATAGAGATTACTGACATTAAACATCCATCCATCCATCCATTTTCTACCCTTTAATCCATTTCTGGGTCAGGGGGGTGGCAGTCAGAGATGCCACCCAAGTCTCATAGCACCAGCCCCTCACTGACCCTCTGCAGGTGGTGAGTCCACAGGAGGGCGGCTGCTCTCTGAGTGTGAGAATAGCCTTGATCTTTCAGTGGGGGCTTTGGGCAAAGTGGGGTTAAGTGTCTTGCCCAAGGACACAACGACAGCAGTCATCAGTGGGAGTCGGTGGAGAAGGTGTAGAGGTGGGAATTGAACCCGCGACCCTCAGGCCTGAAGGCCAATGCTCTACCAACTGAGCTACTGTCGCCCTTGACATTAAACAATTTAATTTATAATTGTTGTCATTGTTGAAATAGTACCAGGCAGCTAAGGTGAACGTACAGTGTGTGTGTGTATGCAAATGGAGTGAGAGTTTGTAAGCCTTACTTCTTCCCACTCAAACAACAGGCCTATTGAATCCTGTATAAACCTGAAAAAAAATACATGAAACGAAAATGAAACACCAAGAAAACTTCAAAAAAATACTATTACAACTAAGTCAAGACTATACATGGTCCAAATGTGATCCAGTGTGACTGATAAACGACCCTGTAATGATTTACCAGACCTCGACAGTACAGAACAACACAGTTTGTCTGCAATAAACAGCTACAGTCACATTCGACATGAAGGTGAAGGAGAAAAATGACTCTAACTGGAGAGAAAGAGACCATTGTCTCTTCCTGCAGTGACCTCTGTAAACACCGTGACCTTTGCGTTAACGAAGCACAGAAGTAAACAAGTACACATGTGCAGAACTTTCTCTGACGATTAGCTTCATCATGTTTGGCTAGCTGCACCTGCTGCTGTGGCTCCCACCGCCAGAAGACAGGTACCAGCACAGTCTATGGTACCAGCACAGTCTATGGTACAGTACCAGCACAGTCTATGGTACCAGCACAATCTGTCAACAATATGGTACCAGCACAGTATATGGTACCAGCACAGTATATGGTACCAGCACAGTCTATGGTACAGTACCAGCACAGTATATGGTACCAGCACAGTCTATGGTACAGTACCAGCACAGTCTATGGTACCAGCACAGTCTATGGTACAGTACCAGCACAGTCTATGGTACCAGCACAATCTGTCAACAATATGGTACCAGCACAGTATATGGTACCAGCACAGTATATGGTACCAGCACAGTCTATGGTACAGTACCAGCACAGTATATGGTACCAGCACAGTCTATGGTACAGTACCAGCACAGTCTATGGTACCAGCACAGTCTATGGTACCAGCACAGTCTATGGTACCAGCACAGTCTATGGTACCAGCACAATCTATGGTACAGTACCAGCACAGTCTGCGGAGGCTACAGAACCTTCTCTTACCTTCGACTGCAGTAACACCAGGAACAGGCAAACAGCGGGGCTTCCGTCAGAGTGAATCTTGTCGCGGGCCTAAAGTCATAAAGTGTCCCGGAGCTGAGAGTCTCGGAGCTGAGAGTCCCGGAGCTGAGAGTCCCGGAGCTGAGAGTCCCGGAGCTGAGAGTCCCGCGGTGAAGCCACTCCTCTGATCCCGACCTGAGCCTCTGCTGCAGCCGCGGGAATCTGCATCATCTGAGCTCTGCTGACATAGGCTCCTGTCTCACCTCCACACTCCAGCTGTGGATAACAGACACTGACACTATATCACACACAGACTGTGAGGCTCACGGGACAGGGATCCCGAGTGCTGCCGTGCAGAGCAGCGGAGGCGATCGAAAGTCATTACCTGATGGTCCTCGGCTGTCCGCATGTGGAGGATGCTGCGGCGGGAAATGCACCACTCCAGAGAGAGCGAGGGGACTATGCTTGTGGTGGATGAGCAGCCGTAAGAATATCTGTGGCAGATATTACTTTGGGGGAGAAAACATAAACACAGTCGCCAAATTGCAGAAAAGGTCTCATCATAATAAAAAAAATATAATTGGCCCTATCCATTGGTGCAGCAATCCGTCCACATTCATCTGATGACTCCTAAAAACCTTATGTAAATGCTCTTGTACTGTAGTTACAGTACTTCCAAATACTAATCCAACCATCCAACCGTGCAGATTTATTTTCCATCATTATTATTTTTATTTATTTGTTTTCACTTTATACACTTTAAATCACACATGCAGGTCCAGGGCAGAAGAGCCTAATGCAACTAATGTTTCCATTACAGCCCTGACCCTCATAGATTAGATGCATGGTGATTGTTTATTATTTACCACTTTTTGTAAAAAATCAACCCTTTCTGGTTAAATAATAACCCAGTGGCCATTGGATGTCTGCAGAGTGATTTTACACAACAGCACTGCACTCTAGCGGTCAAAATTAAAAGTGCATGTTCTTGGACAGAAGATACAGAACCATAGAAGCTTTTTGGGTTGAGGACAATGACTATTTAACTAGTCTTCTACACTCCCATGTAAGAAAAGTTTTGAGTACATTGCATTCATGTTGTAGAATTGTGCCTCACCTAGAGCAGGTTCCATTAAAAGGGAAAGAAGTATTTTTTGAAAGAAGTTCCTCAAATGTTTTCCCAGATATGATAGATTCACAAACCCATGATAGAGCACCGTCTCTGCCTTGTGGGTCTGTTTGAGGACACCAACCACACCAAGAAGGTGAGGGTTGGTTTGGAAACGAATAAGCACCTGCAGCATCCAATCCCATATCAACGAAATTGTGTTCTGCAGGTTTTAAATAAATACAACTAACTAACTAACTAACTGAATCCCCCTTGTGAGATAAATAAACTTGTTTTATATAAATTAATCAATCAATATTATCCTGAACATTTTTCATATTGGACAACATCATTTTAGTAGTAGTAGTCTTTATTAAGAATTTCAAATAATTAATTGTGCAATACAAAAAAAGTAAATTAAGAAGATTTTTTTTATATTGTCACTTCGTATACTCACAAAGAAGATGTGGAACTTTGTGGATAGTTTTCTGTGGATTGGCCCAAACGTTACAGAGAAATTAGCTCTAAACTAAGACAATTCTGACTTTTGACATTTACCAGTTACCCCCAAAATGTCAAACTATTGAACGTAGAAAAGGACCCCCAATTCATGATTGTACATGGAGTACACTCACAGACACTTGATCCAAAGCACACACTTTTTTCTGTTGAAAACATAAGAAGCTTGTGCATTTAAAGACATAATAAAGCCATAAAAGTCATGATGGAAATTTGGGTGCAAACGTCATCTGCTGTCTTTATGATTTACATAAACAAAGACTGGAAAGACTTTACTTTACCCACAATGAGTCACTTTCAAATCAGATACTGGGTTGGCTTGGCTGGATGTCGTCTGTTCTATGTATTCAAATACATTATTAACTGCTCCCCTATTAGAAAGGCAAAATTGGAAAGTGGCCACATACACAGAGATATGACTAAACAACACATTTAATGAGTTCAGTTGAAAGTGCGCACACTGACTTCACCATAACCACAGTGATACACACATGCACACTCTGGCCTCCTCCTCATTGGTGCAGGCCCAGACAGCGCATGCCAGTGCACCTCACAGTACGGGCCACAGGCCGCAGCAGCACAAGAGGGAACATATGGGTACCAGCTGTCTGGACGTGGTCCCTGCATGCTGCTACTGTATCCAGACACATTCACACTCAAACTGTTTATTCTGCCCTGCACTGCTTTTGCTTGAAGTTTTTAAAATACAAACCTGCATAAAAACCTAAAGCCAAGGGACATCTGCAGCTTGACCCAGTCCAGTTTTTCCAGTGATGTGAAGGCCACTCGATCATCGGCCTTAGCAAGGAATGTTGGATTATTTCCTGAAAAACTCTCAAAAAAATCAGACAACTTCAAATGTAATCTTTTTGTGAATACTTTGCACACTAAGGTAATGACTGGATCCTTTGTGAAGCTCTGTTTTTGTACTCTGATGACGAATAAACACTGTATATTCAAAAATCCCTGATACTTGTATTTTGGAATTTAATAAAGTAAAATAGTTTTAAAAAAAGATATACTAGATTATTTTTATTTTTCGCATGCCAATAAGATAATTAATTTGATTTGTTGACAAAGCGTATCAAGAGTATAATGCAAAAGCCATTCGACGTTTGTTTGGTAGTCAACCTGAAACTTCCGTTTTTTTCCCCACTGAGAGACGAATAAGGTTTATCTTATCTTATCTTGCGTTTGCAAAATAAGTTCCTTTCATGTATCCATTTAAATATTTTTTGCTTTATAGTTGTTTCTTTTTTTAATGGCAGAGCGTATGTAATGTAACTATATATGTAACTATACATTACATGTGAACCATAGAGTTGAATGATTAGCTGTTTTTCAATAAAGCAACAACACAAATCACTAAATCTTCTATTTTTATTAAAGGGAATTGTCTTAAAGCTGGGGTACCTGACTTCACCATAAAAAACCCCATAAATGAATACAGAATACTACATATTGTTTGTTGTTATTTGTCATCAGAGCCAAAACTGTAATAGTTATTTGGATTATTTTACTGTGCATATTTTTTGTGGTTTTGTGGCATGTAGTAGATTAGAAAGAGAGGGTTTTATTTAAAGGACTTTATATTTTATATAAAGTATATTTTATATTTTAGGGGCGACAGTAGCTCAGTTGGTAGAGCATCGCCCTTAAGGCCAGAAGGTAGTGGGTTCAATTCCCACCTCTGCACCTTCTCCACCAACTCCCACTGCTGACTGCTGTCGTTGTGTCCTTGGGCAAGACACTTAACCCCACTTTGCCCAAAGCCCCCACTGAAAGATCATGGCTATGCTCACACTCAGAGCAGCCGCCCTCCTGTGGACTCACCACCTGCAGAGGGTCAGTGTGGGGCTGGTGCTATGAGACTTGGGTGGCATCTCTGACTGCCACCCCCCTGACCCAGAAATGGATTAAAGGGTAGAAAATGGATGAATGGATGGATGGATGGATGGACTTTATATTTTAAATTACCTTAAATATTTATGTGGTTATAGATGATATACAGTACATAGGTACTATTTTGTCAACGGCTTTCTCTCACAACTTTAATAATGCAGTCTGTCAGTATCTGGACAGCCTGTGTTTTATTTGGTCCTTCAGCACACTAAATATGAAATGAAAGAATAACTATGAGGTTTGAGCGCTGAAGGATTGCACTGAAATACATCAAATGTTTGCACTTTTCTTCCAAACAGCAAAGGGAAAAGTAAGGACGGACAAGGAAATCAAGAAACCTAAAGCCAAGATAAGTGGAATACTTTGGGCTAGCATTAACACCAAGATGTGTCCAGAATATACAGAAAACAGCATTTATGAGCCTTAAACCCTGGGATGAAAACCAAAAGGTACTTGGTAACAGACAGGTTTAGTCATTAAAAACACATTTACAGCTAAATGTCAAGGATTAAGGGATATTCAAAAATGTGGAAAAAGCTACATCGCTATATTAGAGAAACACATGGAGCTGCAGACTGAAGCTCTATTCACCTTCTTCTGCACTGAGTGACATTTCACTTGGGGAAAGAGGGTGTGCTTTGCCAAAGGAGGACCCACCAACGGCTAAACCACATTTGTGTACTGATACTGAATGCACAAAGTTGGGTTTCTTCTTAAGATATTCTGTTGGCCTTTACTTGAAACCGAAACGTTGATATTTCAGCCACTTTAGGATGAGATAAAACATCAAAGTTCAGATCGACACTCCCCATACTGCCTATTGAAAACTGTGTATGAAAACCAATGACAAAATGGAAAGCATATTGTGTGCCTGGCAGCTCTGTGATTTTAGGGCTGTGCTGATGTGGTCAGACCTGAGTGGGATTTGGGGGCAGCAGGGCTATATGGAGACCCTTTTCCCCTCAAAACCAACAGGATGTCTTTAATGAACCGCTGTGTTTGAACTGCTGCATCTCACCAGCAGACCAGCCTCCCTCACAACAGCTTGAAGAAAAGAAGAAACACACTCAAAAATGATCTTGGCATTTGTTTACTTGGATTGCTCGAATATTGTATATACTGTTGTTGAATTGAAAGCAAAGTTAAGATGACTAATTTTAATGTATGTATGTATGTGTATGTTCCATATTTTGAACTTAATTCTTACTTCTTCCAATGCTAAAGTTGGAGATTTTAGATTGCTTTCTTATTGTGCCAAAGCAAGTTAGACGTGCTTCTTTTTATGCAGAAGTTGATTTTTATTTTTTATTTAGTATAGAGTTATTCATGGTAATTTATCTTGTGTTGTGTGCTCCTCATTCCTACTGTTCTCACTGTGGGACGAATAAAGGATCTCTTTCTCTTGTATAGGTGGGTTTACCTGTTGTGTCCACAAGATGGCGGTGCTGGTGTGGGGTAGCGCCAAAGAGAAAACAAGTAACCGTCATTATCACAATATCTGCAAACGGCCGTGATGGTTCAGTAACTGTGAATGTTGATATGCCACATATTGTTTAAATTACTCCCAACTGTTGTTCCAGTCCATGCCATAGGAAAATGCTCAAAATACCCTGTTTGATCTTGTGGCCTCTTGTGAAACTGGAAATGAATGGTGATTAACTATAATGATGATCATCATGGTGAAAGCTTTGTGCCACAGGTTGTTTGACTGTGAGAAGACATAGTTCCTTTATGAAAAGATTAAAAGAAAAAAAAAAGAAAAAAGTGGGAACCCTCAAAACAACTATATTTGTGGGAATTCTGGAGAAACAGTAATTTGAGTTCAATTTGTTTCCTTTTTCTTATTTCTTATGTTTTCAGGCTGAATAAATCACACTAAGCTCTGGAGTGTTGAGTGTGAGAGAAGAATATGGCTATGATTAAAGCCAGCACTAAAGCAAAGGTGGTAATTGGGATCATAAACACTCACTTTTCCTCTTACCCCTCCGGATAAGTGTTCCTGTTTATTCTTAGCAGCTGCTTCATCAGAAAAACCATCACCCGGTCTCAGCAGCTTCAAGTGTTCAACAGGCCACATCCGAATGATTGTGTGATGGTGGGTGAGAGAGCATAGCACGGACCTAGAAATGTTTTAAACTGGAAATCCACAAGTTGCGCAATAGTAATACACATTTCCACGTTTCTAGATCAGCTTACCTCCAGCTCCAGGTGCTTCCCTTCGTTCTTACACCTGTCAAGACTCACTCGATTGTAGTCACTAAGTCATCTTTTTAATGTACTGTAGGTATAATGCTTTTTACAAACCAGGGTCACAAAGCCTTTTATAATTTGGTGAATTTTCTCTCCCCACATATTGTTGCCACAGCTGCCTGGGGCAAACTAAAATGGCTGATGCTCTGAAGGCACATTTACCTTTAGTGGGAAGTTACACTGGAGCACCCGGAGGAAACCTACACAGACACAGTGAGATCAGGCCCAGCGCCACCAGGGAGTCGAACCCTAGAGCTTCTGTCTGTGAGGTCAATCAACTTTGTATAACTAACACATTGCATAAGACCCCACGCCATTCGTAAAGCAATCGAATCTGAATCCCAAAGAAAATTGCCTAAAAACAATGTTGTTTTATGTAATCAAGTAACTCATTGGTCTCTTTGTATTTTCACTGTCATGGAGAGGCCAGAAAGATGTTTTACTGCTGAGGTAGGACCTTTCAGAGCCTCCTCAAACTGAGCAGTATCTGTCGTAATGCAGCCAAATAGACAGAGATAAAGTCAATAAAGCCATGGCAGCTTTCCTAAATAGAGAAAGGCAGTTCCCTTTTTTATCAGGGTGACTGCAATCCTTGAAAGGGTGGCCATTGCCTGGTTATTGCTGAAACTATGACATAACAACAGCTCAGTGTTGGAAATAAACTACATTATGTTTAAGAGTTTTTTGTCTTATTAAACGAACCTACTAAACCAGAAGTAACTATATTACTTTGAAAGTATTTAAGATGCTTTGGGCTACTTTGATACAACCGTGAATTGTAGTACTCTGTAAATATACATTTTCAACGTATTCTCCACATCACTGTGTATGACAATGAGGCATGAGATGATCTGCCATAATACCTCACCAATTCAGAAGGCTTACTGTTCCGGCCTGCTTTTACCAAACAGTATGGCAGAAGTGAAATGAATGATTTGGCAGGTAAGACAGCCAGGGTACAATTAAGCTCGGAGCATTAGAGCATATAGAGACTTAAAATAAGTACTTTCAGAGGTACTTTGAAAAAGCATTAGTCCAAGTCAAATTAAACAGCACAAGGCAATTAAAAGAAATGGCTGTGTAACTGTTAGCATGTGGAGGTTTTATCGAGTAGGAGGTCGGCTGTAGTCTTATGTGACCTGGTCCTGAGCTAATGAAAACAATGTGAGGAACACAAAGTGGACCGATACACCAACACATGTCAGATAGGTGGATATTTTTATACAATTACAGCGGTCTTTTGGGGTATCTCTCTTAAAGCTTTGCACATCTAGACTGATTTGGAAATTCGTATTTGCAAAACAACTCTGTCAGATCAGGTGGAAAGAGTCTGTGAACGGCAGTTTTTAGATCTGCTACACAAAAATTGATCTCAAAACTACAATACATTGTCAAAATACATCAACAAGTTGCTGATGACACCAATATTATATTTTGATATGATGATTTGGAGGGACTTGAAACTGGAAGTCACCAAGTATTTTTTATTTTTTTTAATAAATAAACCACGCTATTTGACCTACGAAAAAGAGAAGAATCTCACATTAAAAATCCAGTCTAAGAGAGGTAAGTTGTAAAGCATTAGGGGTATGGTGTCAAGTTTTGGATAATGGAGAATTAAATCCAATAAATCCATTAATAGCTGTTTACTGTTAAACCACACTGAATGCTTAAATCCCATTTACCCATTACTAAACACTCTATTCATTTTTTGAAAACGCTATAACATGGAAAATGTTAATACCAGCTAATATTCCTGATATGTGGTTAACTTGCACCCTGTGTAAGCTCTAATAGGATTTGAAACAAATTGCTTTGAAAAGAAACCAAGCACCATAGTTTGTGTGGGGCCTGCAGCTCTGCCTTGTCAGCCTGATCCCAAATCCCTCTCGTTCACAGTCATGGAGGGTGTCACCTCACCCTATGGCAGATGACTTTCCATGGCATGAACGGTGTCTGGCCAAATCCACTTTTCCCCCTTATTAAAACTGATATTTCCGAGCTGTCAGGGGTAAACGTCTGCTTCTCAAACTTTTCACAAACTGTGTGCTTCCTTTCTCTGCAGCTTCAATATCTCTCTGTTGCAGTATGGGTCACAAGCCAAAGACATTCTGGCATCCTGCTGACTTTTCACTTAGTACCGCACACTAATTTACTGAGACGCGCTGCTGTTTTGAGTCCGTGGTGCAATTCCCACGTTCCAGCTGAGAAAATATATCATTAGTCCCTTGTTGTTTAATGCTTGCCACATTATGTTATAAAAGCTGGGTGTAAAGCGACATGGATAAAACAGAAACAATTTCCAGTGTGCCTCATTTTGACCACCGGCTGCTCGGAATAATTGTGCTGGGTGTCGAAATGAGAAAAAAATAAAAGAAACAGAAACAAAAAACTGTTATGAGTACTAATACTCTTGGGTGGTTGGGAGAATAAGCATTTTCACTGCTGTTGAGATAGATTTAAACTGTTTTTAACAAATAGGGCTACAAATGAAGCACGATAGATTGCATGTCAATGTGTTTCCTTTCTGCGGAAACTTTGAGAATTTACCTCAAACTCTAAGATCCTGCTTCATTTTTATCACTGCACCATTGAAAGTTTACGTGTTGGTTTTCTGACTGTGTGGTTCGGGAACACACCAAAGAAAGGAGAGCTCTAAACAAGGTGCTTCCTGTTCAGGAGGATCTTTATGAATTCAGACTCTAAATCGAGCTCTTAAAATAATCAGTGATTCTTCTGCCCCCCCTGGAAATGGCATGTTCCAGCTTCTTCCCTCCGGCAGACGATATCGTTCGTTGAGACGCAGGACATCTCGTTTTGCTAACATCTTCTTTCCACGAGCGGTTATCAGTTTAAACAAAGCACTTTAATGATCTTGCACTTGTATTTAAACTGTTTTTGTCAAAATGATTTCACAGAAACAATTGTTTCTTGCACTTTTTTTAGCTTGTTTTATTCCTATGCTTTTAGCTTGTTTTTTTGTTTTGTGCACACTGGGGACTTTTGCAAATGTCTTCCAATGTGGTTTTACTGCAAATGACAAATCAAATTAATCTGAATCTGAAAACTATATGAGATTATGTGAGCGTGTGTGTGTGTGTGTGTTTGCGCGTGGGTTGGTGGTTGTGTGTGTACAAATCGTTGTGTTACCAGTGTACATGGGTTTTTTCAATAGCTTTTGATTTGTGTTTTAGGCGACTTCATTAACTTTCCAGAGACATATAAATCCCTTTTCTAATTTTGGTCGCAATATACAACGTTTATTGAGATGTGCAAAAGATACGGCACAAATAGGTCCTTTCCTCTGCAGATGTTTCCTACTTTGTTTACTACTTGTAGCCCTATGTCACAGCTCCCCAGCCAAACAACATCCACTATGGCTGCTATAAGAGCAAAGTGTTACTCTGTCATTAAGCACCAAGAAAGAGTGACTGAAGACCCTTTTTTGGCACAAGACCACAGAATTCGGGCTTCTTTGCTTCACAAACATTTTTATAGTCATGACAGGCTATGACAAAACAACCACCCCACTATGCCACACTAGAGACATCTAAATTTAACATCAACCGGTGAAAAGAAAAACCAGTACACAGTAATTGTGGAGAATTAGAGGTATTATTATAAAGCCTTGACCACACTATTCCCTCATAAAAAAAAAAACAAGGAAGCGAATTATTAACTAATCAATTTCTCTATATGGAAAATAATGGCCTATTGTGGTCGCAATGTAAAATAAAAATAATATTGCTACAGCCATTCCTCAAATGAATTTAAATAGCATAGCTTTTTTTCCTGCTCTGTTAAAGCGCTTGTAAATTTGATGTTGATGTTGTCCTTTGACCGTTTACAAAAAACACCATCCCCGTTACAGGCTTCCACAATAAAAAGTGAGTGTGCCATAATGGGTACTGCTTTATTCACATCCATCCGAGTGAAAACATTTATTGGACTAATTACCTTGGTCTCCATATTGGAGTTTCTTCCTGTGTTACACATGCTTTGGCAAGATTCCCAGTATTGTGTCAGAACCATTACCTCCAGACCGACTGCAAACACAGGAGTGAAATTTGAAAGAGACCAAGAGAGAGCAGACAGCATCACATAAATGGTGTTTAATAAAGGTATTAATAACTCTTGTTTATTCATATTATTCAGCATGTATCATCTGAGATTACATATATTTTTTCTTAATTTACATAAATGGCACTTGAAGCTAGTCTTGCTAAATAGATTGAGATCGCAGCTTCATTAGCGGGAGGAAGGATACATAAAAACAATTTAAGATAAACAAGAAAACAAATGGTCTAATCACTTAAATTGTTATCAGTGTTTTGGATTTATGGAGTGAAAATTACATTTGAGGTGTCTCTTAAAATGGTAGTATTTTTTTTACACAAAAAGAATTAAACGCTGTCCCACCATGGCACCCGGTGCTCACAGGCCTCCCATCACAAATACCTTACTTTATTCTTTACGTCTCTTCTTTGACTGTTGCAACGAGAGCCAAAGTCCTAGTTTGTGACTTCCTGTTACTTACATGGCAATAAAAATGATTCTGATTCTGATTCTGACAAAAATAACAAGACTTTGCCCAGCTTAGCTTTCACAATCTAATGGCATAAGACCTTGAGCAGATGGCCCAAAATTGAATTAGATAAAAAACATTATCCCATTCTCTTCAATCCATTTTGCATTTATTAATGAAAAACAATATATTATGATATGTTACATTTATGAGCAAATACAATCATCCAAATCGTTTTCTGCAGCAAACTCCGCAGACTCCAGGAGCGCAGCAGCCACAGCAGATCTTACACTTGAAGCCTCTCTTCTCTCTGCTCTTGTAGTAAGGACTCTGGACACAAAATACATTTAATATCACTGACAGAGAACAACATAGAAAATAACATCCACTAGAAACAAACTCACTGCCATGAGTTCCTCTGGTCCTTCCTCTGCTCCCAGCTCAGCTGCAGTGTCCTGGTCCTGCTCCTCCATGTGTGCAGTCTAAGAGCAGACAGTGTCAGAATGAGAGCTGCTCTGAAGGCTCTTTACTGTGGAGCAGAGCTGGGACTGTTACCTGAGCGGGAGCTTGGCCACAGCTCTCCTGGATCCAGACAAATGCAACCAGCACAGCCACAGCAGCAGCCACACTCAGAGTCTTCATGATGATCTGCAGCTCTCACACACTGGACACGAGGATCTGTTGGAGACTGCTCCCAGTTGTTGAGTGTGATGATGATCCTGTGGATCTGCTCTATTTGTACTGACACTAGGACGCTGTTGCCTCATCAGGGAAACTCAGACTCTGCAGCATTTCCCATCAATGTGGTCAGCCTTGTTCTGAGTATATTTGTATTACATTATTACCAATTTTCTCTAGTGGTAATAATATAATACAACTGTTGTACTTGGAGTCATTCTGAGTTACTTTTGGCCTAAAACACTAATCATATCACCCTGAGTTTTTGTGGCTGTTTCAGGACAAGATATTTATATAGTTATAAGTTATTCATTCATTCATTTTTACCCCTTTATTAGTCCATTTCTGGGTCGGGGGAGTGACAGTGAGAGCTGCCACCCAATGCTCATAGCACCTGTCCCTCTGATCCTCTGCAGGGGGGGAGTCCACAGGAAGATGGCTGCTACGTTAGTGGTGCCACAGCCTTGGTGTTTCAGCGGGGGCTCCAGGCAATGTGGGGTTAAGTGTCTTGCCCAAGGACACACCGACAACAGACATTAGTGAGAGCAAGTTAGTTAGATATAAGTTACATTAATTATAATTTTGGGCTATTGTCTTTACTGCGCTTTTCTTTTGTATTATTGATTTAGTGTCTTCTAGATGCCCAAATTAACATTTGAACTGACCGACATTTTTTATTGATGTGATTGATTGTTACATTTTGTGAAACATTTTTCACTTTTACAAGACCGAGTTCCTTTTAAAATTATATATGACTAGCTAGAATATATGAGTAACTAGTTACTTCCAACGCTGGTTCCCACCAAACCAAGAATGAAACATCTCCCCCACCCACCCTTGTGCTGTTTATGCTTCATCATAGTTTTACAAAGTGCTCAAATACTATTGACTTTTAGTTTGAAGAGTTTTGCCATCCAAAACAGCAGCTGTATTAGAGATACTGAAGCAGCCACGTGTCATACTCTACAATATAACAAGGAACAAACAAGATTTGAAATATACAAACATTTTAATTTGTTTGGCAGTTATTTCACTTTTACACAACCTTCAGATTGGTAATTTTTTCCATCATTGTAAGATGGTAAGAGCATTTCCTGCCTCTGAAAGAAAAGAAAAAAACGCTGTAGTATTTGTACAAAAAAGGATTTGTCAACAAAGCTGATTTCACAACTTTGTATTTTTTTTGGAAATGTGCAAAGTTTTAGAACACAGTAATCCATATCTCCTAAATTACAATTTTGCGATGTTGTTGTGAGGGAGTCTGAGTGAGCAGATGAAGTGTGCATTCCCTGATGAGGCAACAGTGTCCTAGTGTCAGTACAAATAGAGCAGATCCACAGGATCATCATCACACTCAACAACTGGGAGCAGTCTCCAACAGATCCTCGTGTCCAGTGTGTGAGAGCTGCAGATCATCATGAAGACTCTGAGTGTGGCTGCTGCTGTGGCTGTGCTGGTTGCATTTGTCTGGATCCAGGAGAGCTGTGGCCAAGCTCCCGCTCAGGTAACAGTCCCAGCTCTGCTCCACAGTAAAGAGCCTTCAGAGCAGCTCTCATTCTGACACTGTCTGCTCTTAGACTGCACACATGGAGGAGCAGGACCAGGACACTGCAGCTGAGCTGGGAGCAGAGGAAGGACCAGAGGAACTCATGGCGGTGAGTTTGTTTCTAGTGGATATTATTTTCTATGTCGTTCTCTGTCAGTGATATTAAATGTGTTTTGTGTCCAGAGCCCTTACTACGAGAGCAGACGTCGCAAATGTAGATTCTGCTGTGGCTGCTGCGAACCTGGAGTCTGCAGAACTTGCTGCACAAAACGCTTTGGATGATTTTGTTTCCCCATAAATATAAATTATTATGAAAATATTGAACAAAGTCATATTATTTGAGATAAACTGTCTTTACTTTGACTGTGGCTGTTCTAGTTTTAATATTTGATTAAAGCTTTGACATCATAGTAATTAGTGGTGTATTTACTTTTTTCGTTGTTTGATATGTATTATCATAAGAAAATACATATTTGAATAGAAAATATACAAAAATTCATGAATCGTTTCAAAGAAATACATTCAAGTTAACACATTCACAATCGGTTGTGTAAGAGGCCGATTGTCAGAAAGGGCAATGTATAAACAAAATGAAAAGGTTTAAGGCTGAAGAGGTCGGTACGTACAGTCGATATGTTTGTAAGTGAAAATGTTCAATTCACAACATCAAGAATCCTAAACATCTGTTCATTATCTGCACATGCTGCACTCCTTACGTCTTTGAACCCCATGAAACCATGTAAAATAATCTGCAACAAAATAATTCTGTTTACTTAAAAAACAAATCAATGTTTCTCTTTGGCTCCATTCACTTTCATTAAACAGAAAATCAGAATCAGAATCCTTTTTATTGCCATGTGAGTAACAGGAAGTCACAAACTAGGAAATTGCTTTGGCTTTCGGTGCAAACAAGTTAAAGCAGAATAAAAATAATTTTACTGAAGAAATTGATGTGGATTTCTTCTATTAACAGTCTATTGGTGCACTAGGTGCACACAATAGACTGTTAAGAGTGTGGTAGAGTGCAGCAAAGTGACAGTAGCATACGTGACGGTCATAAGGTCTGTGATGGTTTATGAAGTGTTCATGAGTCCAACAACAGAGGCAAAGAAACTAGTAGTAGTAGTCTACTACTAGACATGAAGAATCTTTGGGTGTCATGAAGAGCTCTATAACATGCATTAAAATGATTTGTATTGATCCAACTAAAATCGACTCGAATCTAATGTTGTTATGAAGTCATGAGAGAGGGAATAAAAGTATCTGCCTTTACCTGCACTTTCTCAGAATGTTAATTAATTTTCATTTATGATAATAATGATGGTATTACTTCAGACTTACAGTAGTGCTTTTAATAAAAGTCAAAGTGGAGGAGATAATAAACAAAACAATATTCATCAAGTGATAACCAGATTCCTGATTCTATATCACAAAGTGATGTACACATTAACAACTGACTGACAGAAGACAACCAGACTCAAAATGTGGGTGAAGTGTATTTCCAAAAGACATAATGACAGTTTTTCACTTTACAGCCTCAGCCGTCCCACTGTGGCACCTATAGTGCCCCCAGGGGTCTCCCATCACCATAATAACCAGACCCCACGACTCTTATCAGAGCTGGTGGGATCAGGCTTTGACAAGCAGAGGGCCACAATTCAATTCAATTAAAAAGTGAATGTCCGCTTCTTCAAATTATAATTAACATTTAGTATTTATTAATGAAAAACAATATATTATGATATTAAACACGTATGAGCAAATACAATCATCAAAATCGTTTTTTGCAGCAAAGTCCGCAGACTCCGGGAGTGCAGCAGCCACAGCAGAGTTTACACTTGAAGCCTCTCTTCTCTCTGCTCTTGTAGTAAGGGCTCTGGACACAAAACACATTTAATATCACTGACAGAGAACGACATAGAAAATAATATCCACTAGAAACAAACTCACCGCCATGAGTTCCTCTGGTCCTTCCTCTGCTCCCAGCTCAGCTGCAGTGTCCTGGTCCTGCTCCTCCATGTGTGCAGTCTAAGAGCAGACAGTGTCAGAATGAGAGCTGCTCTGAAGGCTCTTTACTGTGGAGCAGAGCTGGGACTGTTACCTGAGCGGGAGCTTGGCCACAGCTCTCCTGGATCCAGACAAATGCAACCAGCACAGCCACAGCAGCAGCCACACTCAGAGTCTTCATGATGATCTGCAGCTCTCACACACTGGACACGAGGATCTGTTGGAGACTGCTCCCAGTTGTTGAGTGTGATGATGATCTTGTGGATCTGCTCTATTTGTACTGACACTAGGACACTGTTGCCTCATCAGGGAAACTCAGACTCTGCAGCATTTCCCATCAATGTGGTCTGCCTTGTTCTGACCAGTGTTGGGCAAGTTATTCCAATAGTGTAATAAAATTAGTTTCTGGAATAATAATAATGTCATGTATTTGTATTACAATATCACACATTTTAAAATGTAACTCCTGTAATTCGAATAACCTTTTAGTTACTTTTAGTCCAGAACTAATTGTATCATGCAAGTTGATAGTTATATTAGTTAGTAAATGGTTACAGTAAACTTCTACCCATGACATTGATCAAAGCTTAAGTTGCTGTTTGGATAGTTACATAAACATAGCTAAAGCTGCAATTGACATTTTTTCTTCTCAAATTATTTATAAACTGTGAAGAAACAAGAAAATGTGAACATCCGTGACATACATTTGTTAGATGTTCTCCTTTGATTATTATCAATTTTAAATTTAGCAATGACTTATACTGAGTTACATATAACAAAGAAATAAATACAATTCTGAACAAAAGAAAATGAAACATCTCCCTCAACTATCCTTGTACGGTTTATGCTTTATCACAGTTTTACAAAGTGCTCAAGAACTTAGATTTTTAGTTTGAGGCGACAGTTTTCTTCCAAGTCAGCATCTGTGTTTGTGAGACTGAAGCAGCCTGAGGCGTCTCATACTCTGCTAAATAACAATAAACAAAACTACAAACAGGGCGGTGGTGGGTGTTCCTTTTTAGTGTAAAATAGTTATTTCTTAATTATTTCTCAATACTTACCAAAATGAGTTCATGATCACTTTTACAACACAACCATTTCCTGTCTCTGGAAGACTAAAACACGGTACTATTTGTACAAAAAAGATGATTTCACAACTCTAATTTTGTAGGAATTGCGCAACAATTTAGAACTCTGTATCCTACATCTCCTGAATTGGGACTTGGTTTGATCACATTGATGCTAAAGTGGCTGTGGCTGCTGCGAACCTGGAGTCTGCAGAACTTGCTGCACAAAACGCTTTGGATGATTTTGTTTCCCCATAAAATATATATTATTATGAAAATATTGCGGGCGACAGTAGCTCAGTAGCTTAAGGCCAGAAGGTCGTGGGTTCATTTCCCACCTCTGC